TTTCCCTTAACTACAGTGGGAGCTTTGCCTGAGTAAGGAGTACAGGCTGGATACGACCCATAAAGAACATCTGTATTGTGTGATATGTAGATTTAAAGTTGTTTTGAGAATATGGCAGGTTTACACTAGTATACATCCAAAACAGTTCCCTTCGTTTTAATGTAGTCACTTCAAACTTACAACAAATGTGACTGGGATCAGAATAAAGCCTCTTTATTTAATTTTTGTTTTGCAATAAAAATCTCATTTTCAATGGAAATGGCAAACTAGAAAGTACTTCCTTAAGTATTTAATTAAAAAATACCCCACCTTTTCTGAATGTCCAATCCTCAGAAATGGACAGTTTCTTTCAGACTTTCTCAGATGACTTCCTTTGAACATTCAGCTGACAGGTAATTATTTTGGAAGTATATAACTTGCTGAGTACTGGGGCTTAGAATGCCAGTGTCATCTCAACCATAATTATTAAAAAACAGAAATGAATACTTCATTCTGGTAAGTACTGGATAGCGGAAGAAGGGCTAAAATTTATCATAAAATATTATGATATATTATGCTTAATTATAAACAAATGGAATAAAATAAATACCTTTCACTTTGACACACAATTAATTCATATTTGTTATCAGATGAAGTCAGAAGAATGGAACTTTCTGGTTCCAATGACAGAATTAAAGCCAGGATCCCTTGATACTAGCCAAAGTTATTTTTCTGCCCATTCTAAGCAGAGATGGACTCATGTACGGTTCAACATCTATCCAGGTATAATAATACTAAATATATATGGACCAAGTAATAACTATTTAATTTTGTTGTTGTTTCTGTTTACCCATTCCCACTTGTTGCTGTCATAATAACAGAAAATATCAACTAGAACAAGCAATGTGGGGAGTCGGGTTTGTTCAGCAGATTTTGTAAGATGGGCAGGGAGCCCAGTTCGGTGCATAGAAGTTTCTGGCATGAACCACAAGACTCATTGACGGTCACAGGGGTCATTTTTCAGCATTGATATGAGGGATCAGAGGACAGTCAGGGGAATGCCTGTTTTATGTGAGTTTCATTTGTTTTGAGGTTTATTTCAAGGATTAAAAATCAGTCAGGAGAATAGTAGTTTGGGCATGGACAGATATATTTGGATCTGTTTCACAAGGGGAATGTTTCAGAAGGGCAGTAGCTGCCCAATTGTAATTGTTGTGTGTGATAAATTGGGAATGATACAAATGTAGCAAAAATTGCTTCAATTTTAATCCTAGATGAGGCAAGTTATCTTGTTAGTGACTGTTATGAACATATGCAGCAAGGAGATTAAAACAGTAAGTGGTACGGCTAGTTAGAAAGTTGCTGTTGAAACTGATTTTCAATTAAAGATATCATCTTCATCTGAATCAAAATGTTTAAAACAAAGTGTTAATTTCAAACTGATACAGTTTTCATTTTGAAACCGCTTTTCAAAGCAATATTTTTGGTTTTTTTTAATTAAAAACGCTAATTTTCAAGCAATCAAAATCAAAACAAAATGGCTTGGTTATATTGTAATTAAATGTTTTAATTGTTCCAAATACATTTATTTTGATATCTTGTTTAGATTGACATTTTAACCTTTTGGGTTTTGTTCCATTTGACAACAGAAAAAGAACATAAAAAATCAAAGAATGCCCTGAAAAATGGGAAATCCACATCCTACCCAGTTTTATTTTGGCTGCTATAATCAAATAACATCTTTTATTTGTCTCACTAACATTTCCACTGTATATGTAGAGAAAGGGTGCCTTGCACATGGGCGTAGATTCGTTAACAGTAGTTTATTTTGTAGTAAATACACAGATGAGAGGATGACTTCTAAATTGTTAAGTTGAAATGTAAAGTAATATTTCATTTAAAAATACATTTCTGAATTGCTGATGAGAAAGCATTCTCTTAGACCAACCCTCCCAACCCAACAGACATTTGCTTTTGGGTTGGGAGGGTGGGAGACTGAGCTCCAATCTGGCTGTATGAGAGAGGCTGTGTACACACAGTCTCTACCCCTTGCCCTGCCCCCATCTCCCAGCCCTAGTGCTGTCTGCTCGATGGGAAGGGGGGAGAAGGGAGGGGAGGGAGCTGGGGCTGGTGCTTGCCCAGCCTGCACTAGAGTGGGGGCCCTCGGAGGGCCTCAGGGGTGGAAGGAATCCGATCTACCTGCCCCCACTCCAGCACGGGCTGGACAAACACCAGCCTAAGCCTGAACTCCCTTCCCTTCTCCTTCCCTCCTATCCAATGTTCCCTCTAAGGAGTAGCGGTCTGTGAGTGCACTGCCTCGGCCCGTGAGCATGCCTCCTTGGTCCAGCGTGGGATAGTTATCGAAGGGGGCTGGGGGCTGGAGGCCGGGGGCTAGGGGCTGGAGCCGAGAGGCTGGGGGCTGGAGCTGGGGCCTGGAGCCGAGAAGCTGGGGGCCAGAGACTGGGGCCAGGGGCTGGAAGCTGAAGCCTGGGGGCTGGAGGCTCAGGCCGGCGCTGGGGGCTGGAGGCTGGGGCTGGGGGCCGGAGCTGGGAGCCGGGGGCCGCAGCTGGGGACTGGTGTGGGCTATGTCAGCTCCGGGGAAGTGCTCTGCTCCCCTGCATCAGGGCCGGGGAATGGAGCACTTCCCCAGAGCTGGCAGAGCTTATGCCAGCCCCCCGTCCCAGCCTCCATCCATGCCTTGCCTCACCTCAGGGAGGAGCCGCTGCCTGCTGCGAGTGAGGCTCCGCTGGCTTCAGGACACTGTGAGACGCCCCCCGAGGCCATGCGGGGAGCAGAGCAATGTCCCAGAGCCGGCGGAGCCTGCGCCAGGCTCCTGCCCCCACCTCTCCTGGTGCGTGGCTTTGAAAAGGCTGTGCATGGCCACACTTTTAGTTGCGCATGGCCGTGCATGCATGCACCTTAGAGGAAACCTTGCTCCCATTGTGCAGACAGCATTGGGGGTAGGGCTAGGCTGCATCAGCCTAGCCACCTAAGCAGACAGAAGTTAATGAAGGCACTCTGCTTTGGAGTGCCTTCATCTGAACCCTCATTATATATATATATGGGCTCATATAATGAGGGTTCATTTGTCATGCAATTGAACATTTTTAAAGGGCTCTGCAGTCATACACTTATGTTAAGGCATGGCTGTAGAGCAGGGGTGTCCAATCTTTTTGAATGTGGGGCTGGATCATGAACTTTTTATCACCCAGTGAGCTGGCGAGCCTTATTCAAAGACCTCACAGGAAGTGGTATCACTTCAGGAAGTGATGTCACGTGACCTTTGACACCAATGAAGTTGCAGGAAGTGACAATGAAATGGATCTAAATAACCAGTTCAAAACTCTCCCTCTATAGCATC